GAAGCTGTAGCTGATCTTCGTGCTCGATCGGAAAGTCAAGCTGCCACAAATCAGGCAATTCTTCAATCTCTGACTGATCTTCATTCCAAGATGGATGCACAGACACAGATATCCAAATTGTTCTTGGATAGAGATACAGAGTTATCTGTTGACTTGGGTCCCAGTCAGTTCACGGAAGAGGACAGGGTTATGTTAGCCAACTTCAGTCGACGTGTTCAGTCCGATTATGCTCTTCTTGGCGGTCTTCATCGCGGTATATCACGTCTGCTACGTGCTTCAGGTGCTCCCCTTACTCTCACTTCTCATGTTACTGCTTATGTGCCTTCCTCACATGCCAATGTGGAGGGTCCTTCTGTTCCTGCTAGTGAACCTTCCCCTGTTCCTACTGAGGGGGATAAGACAGTTGACCCTACTATCAGTGAAAACGGGGACGACGACTCAACTTCTACCTCTTCTACCTCTTCATCCTCAGCTGAGTCAGACTGTGATGCTCCTATTGAGGGGGAGCTATTTGATGATGATGATAGAGCCACAATACCTATTGAGGGGGAGCAACCGTGCTCTATGCCTTCATTATCTGTTGATGTTGGTACTATACCTTCTCAAGATGATATTCCCACTGCTTCTGGGGACTTAGTCCCAACTCACAGAAAAGGAAAGACACCTATGACCTCAGATGAAGAAGCTGCTGCAGCTAAAGCAACTAAAATTGCTAGATATCAATCTGAAGTCTCCTCAGCTGATAGACTTGTGCTTAAAGCTTCATGTCCTCAAGAAACTGATCTTCATCTCCTAGGTATTTCTGCTGAGGATGCGACCAACTCAATTGCTCTTCAAAAGCAATTTGAGGAAGCCAACATGTCTCACTCCTTGGTCCCACTATCTGAGTCTGAAGAAACCAAAGAGAAAAGAATTAAATGGTTTAATGAATCAATTCTCCGATGCTTCCTTAGTACTCGAATTGTCATTGCCAGAATCAAAGGTCCTCAAAAATTGACCTATGATTCCAATCTGATCTATGTGATTATTGGTCGAGAAAACGAAGTAGTAAGAATAGAAAAGCTATCTTGGATCAATTCCTATGGTCTTACTGAGTGGATGGAGATCATCAAGTTTCTTAATAAAAGCAGAAGCATGTATAAAGAATTTGTCTTGAGTCATCTGTATCGCCTTCTGAAAAAGATACAAATGATCAAGATGCATTACAAACTGCCTTCCCCTCCACAACTCTCCTTTCTAAAACAAATGTTAAGCGAAACCGGCTGTTCTAAATCTGCTTCTGCCTCGAAGACCATCAAGAATCAAGACTCGCTTATTCAGAAATTATCAAAGGAAGGTAAGACTCCTGATGTCTCACATCTTGATCTTACCCTTCCTTTAGATGTTTGTCATCCGGAAGGAACTATCTTGTCCGCTCCTGAGYATGGAATATTCTTCTGGGACGTGAGTAGTTGCCTTCGATTTTTTCGAGCTTTTGAGATACCTATAGCTGATTCTAAGCTATTGTGCGTAATCAAAATTGGTGAAGCCGGAAGAGTTTTCTATACATTGATCTCGGATGAACTGAAGAGAAGAGATGTTCTTGCAGTGGCTGATTCGGATGTTATGGAAGTAGATGATGATTGCTAGCTTTCCTATGTGATTTCTTCTTCTTGAACTACTTTCTTCACTGTAAGTATTTAATTCATTGTCTAGTATAAATGCAATTTGTTTTTTCAGTATTTACTTTAAATTTCTCATTCTTTATTTGTTTATCTCTGATTCATTATTTGTTTGTATATACGTTTATAGTTTAAAAAAATCAAAAAAAAATCAAAAAAAAAGGAAAGAAAAGAACCCAAAAAGAATATGTACATGGGTCACATAATTTATAAGTTGTTCTTCTCAAAGAATTTTAGAGTTTGTGTTTATTGTATTTATTTCTTTCTAAGTGTTTGTGTCATCATCAAATAGGGGGAGATTGTTGGGTCACCTATTGATTTGGTGATGACTCACTGATCTGTTCCTCTACCTTATCAACACTTAGTAGTTATTGGTTCTTTGTATATTGGTGTCTTCGTACATACTTAAAGCCATTGGCAAAATCGAAGACTAGCCGATGTGAAGACAGAAGGTCACCGATGCGGTGTTGTGGATCAGCTGTCTAATATACACACCAAGACTCCGAAGTAGCTGAAATGCATATTGAAAATATTTTGAAGCTACAAGCCGATTGAAGGAAGATCTTCATAGACCGAAGATTGAAAATCTTCATGGACTC